AATCACATCCATATCAAATTCAGATTGTCCTATGTGACAACAGAGCTCAACAAAATGCAAAAACAACTGTTCCAGAGGCCTGGCAGTCCAGAAATTTGGGGAAAAATGAGTATTACCACATGAATAAACACATTGATTTGCCACATACTTATGCAAGTCTTTAGTGGCTACATAGGAGTTTCTGTGGGTTGTGAAGATCATGAAACTCTGATTTTAGTGCCATGATTCAAAACCTGTACAAAGAAGTTGTGGAGCTCCCACTGATTTCTAATGGCTTCCTTCACTACTGCGCTTCCATGTACATTTTTAAATGGAATGCAACTTACAAATTTATTTTTTTTTTTAAATTATGGTAAGGTCTCTCTTTTTCTTTCTCTGTTTTGCCTGGAAGAGCTTAACTGACTGTTAGTGCACCTCAATTGGAGGTCAACTGCACAAACTCTTTTTGTGAGAAATGCTAAAGGGGCAACTTAGTTTAGACTCCAGAGCCCTCTGTGCTCCATTGTTACGTGGATCCATATGGCATCAGAGCGTATACATGAGGGTGGATAACTGAATGTGTTAAAGTGAGTGAAATTAGTTTATTGCCTGATATTTTAAGTTTGTTAGCATTAAATTACATTGTTTTTAGCTAAAGTAAATCTTGATGAATGGCTTAGGATTTTTAGGTGAGTGGTGGTTTTGGAGATCTGATGGATGCCTGATAGAATTCCTTCTTCACACCATAGTCAGCTGAAGACATTTTCAGACATGATCTGATTAGTATATTTGAAGCATTATGCAGACATATAGCAATCAAGGGTGGAGGAACTAGTTCAAAGAAACAACAGAGATGAGCTGAGTATCAGTTGTCTAAGCTATTCAAATCAAACCCAGATTTTTATATTCACATGAATCCAGTGCAGGATAGAAGCATTTATTTTGCTTTATTTCCCCAAAATATATACAATTCCTCATTAAAACTGCTCAACAACAAATCCTGTTCCCTTGGTTCCCTTCTGTTTGCCAGTCTGCATCGAGAATTCAGCTTCTCATCTCAAAGATGCTGCTTTCTCTCATATTCTTGCTGTACATTTAAAAAAAAATCACAGCATAATATTGGTATTCTCCTTACAGCACAAACCATTAACTGACAAGCTACCTTGCCTCCAGGGGGTTGCAGTCTTTTGAATTTTGACGAAAATTGCCCCTCTTCCTTTCCTAACAGTATCCTTCTTTCCATCTCTACAAGATGACAATCCCTACACTCCACAGTGAAAAGGAAATATGCTATTCTGCTTTCATCCCACCATGTCTTCATGTCTAATGCTTGAACTTTTGCCTGTCAAGAACAAGAACTTTCTTTGCATAGAACTGAACACAGTTAACACTGGTTCTCTCCTTAGAACATCTAAATGCCACCAGCATGCAAATGAATAAATATATGAACAAGCAACAATTAAAATGTATTATTTATTAGTTTACAACAATCCAGTTGCGTAACCAATGTAGCCTACCTACTGGCTTGCATAATACCTAGCTCTCTAAGATGTCTCCCTTGTTCATAACTACGCACTTAATCTTTTGGTGAGTGTTTTTAGTCTCTTCACACTGAGCAGAACATGTTCTCTGAAAGCAGAGAAACAATATTGATGGATAATTTGCAGTTTGAAGAGCTCTGCAGGTTATGCTTTTCCAGTACATCTGTTTGCCATTTGCCATTAATGGCTACAGGAAGCCTGTGACTCTCAACATATGTCTATCAGTGAAAGGCAGAAGAAGATGTTAAGTGTGGGAAAGTAACAGTGCACTGCACTGGGGGATCAAAACAAAAAGTGTGAGGGGAAGAAAGGAAGAAAAGGAAGAAACTGGAACTTAAAATCATACAGTCATGAAGGCAAAAAAGAACTCACCATTACAGGATTAAAAGAAGAGAACTATGAAATAAATTATAGTGAGGTTTGGATGGGACTGCACGATAAAAGGAGCTTGTATGTGAAACACATAGGAATTACTATATGAGAACACACTGGGATCAAATAATTCCATGCTAAAATGAGTAAAAAGAACCGTTTAGGCTAGTCGGGCTATTGGTATCCTCATTATTCCCATTTGTTTGCATTCATTCTGAAAATGCTAGCGCCTTCTCCCAGTAAAACTTCATTTTGTAAGCAGTGAGGGAAAAAAAGAGTTGTAATAGATCGCACCGGCTTTAATGACACACTAGCAGATGGAAACAAAACCCCCCCCTCTTCATCCCTTTTATCTTGTTTCGCATAGCCAGTCCATAAACATGCCCTTGCTTCTGTGAGATAGCAGCGACTTCACTGACTAACATCCTGTCTCTGACCTCAACTTCTTGAGCAAAGTCATTGAGGCATCTGTGACGAGCATACCCCGTCATCATGTGGTCTTTGCCCTAACTCCCTTGGCCACAGACAGCTATTCAACATGGAAACAGCAGAGGCTGACTGAGCTAACTCTCTCTTCATGGCCACGGAGAAAAGATTGGCAGCACTGTTGGTAACTGCTGGGTCTGCTGCTAGACTTCAAAATCCGATGCTGTGAAAGGTAAACTCCAAAGCAATTCCTGAGCAGCAACGGGAGTCGTACAATACCAAAGAGCATTTTCAATATTTCTTAACAGTAAATACAAATAAATGTACTTTCCCTTCCCTTTCCCAAAGTGTTTTTGTTGTTACATCCTTCTGCACTCACTGACTGCATGCAGCTAGCCAGAAGAACAGAGCCCGGCTTGGTTTCTCGTGCAACTATTCTGTTGTTCAAAAGTGCATAGAAGTTTATTTCTGTGTAATAAGGGACAGTGGCAGTAGGGAAGATAAGTTGCCTGGAGGTTAAGTTGGAAAGCTTCATTTCCCCATTCCAGCAGGAACAGAAGGAAAACTTTTAGCTTAATCCTCAGTTTCCTGGCTTGTCACCATAATCTGTCCCTTAAAGGTATTTTAACCTAATGTTTTATGTGTGAATTTCCTCAGTTTTGTTAAAAATTACCTTTTTTAAAAAAAATTAAAGTTCATCTTCCTATGAAGGTGTATGAAAGTGAATAGGACAGACTTTTGTGGATACTGAGGAGTATATAGTGGGATTTCAGAACACTAAAAAAGAATGACTCTCGGACATAGCAAGGGCACAGGTAGAATTGGAACATAGGTGCCTTCTGCCTGCATTGGTTTTGAAGGAATTGTCTATTGAGTGTAAAACAGGCTAGAATACAGTCTGTGACTTGCTCAAAAAGAAGTAAAACCCCCTCCTTTATGCACATTGCAGAAATAAAAGTAAGAAAAATATTGATGACTGTGAACGAATTCTTGTGGTGTGCAATATTTTTCAAGTATGGTTTGGCTCAGAACCCGTAAAATAAGAACGAACAGTAAAATACGTGAGTAGTTTCTTCTAAAGTACTTACTACACAGGAACAGCAGGCATTTCTCAAAGAGAAATGTCTTGTCTAATCTGAAGAGATTGCCAAATTGCCATAAGCCAATACACAACGTCATTATCACCTCAAAAAACACAATTTCATGGTTCCAAAATAAAAGAACTCTTCCCCCGTCAGGCTAATGAGAGGCTGTGTTTCAAGATGTGCCACTGTGCAGGAGCAGAAGCAAGCGTGGGCTTTTCGGACATAGATTCTAAGCGGAAATGAGCCTGTAAATAGCTTGCCTCGGCTACTCCCCTGAGGCAGATACACCTCTCTACCTCTGCAAAGCACTGCCTGACACAAGGAGGAGCAGGAGGTGACATCTACCCTGTAGGTTCCCGTAAATAAGTAGATCTAGCCAATTCTTGGGTGAGGGGGAGGCACCTGTAGCTATCTGGTTCGTACAATCCTCGTTCTAACATTATTTCCCTTCTCATGAGGTATATCCCTAGGGAACAAGCCAACCTTCAGAAGGATTACAAGCTCCAAACCCCTTTAAAGTTTCTGTAAGTAATCTGCAGCAACCCTAGCGATTGTTTGACAATGAAACAGTAAGTTACTGCTTGGTACCAGCAACTCATGCTGGCTCACAGATGTTCACACAAGGGGCAGCTGCTCCCCTTGTTCCACTCATCCGCAAAGGGGTGAAAACCTTGCTTTTGAGTTGGGAGGGAAGGGGGAAGTAGAAGGGATGGGGAAATGGGAAGGATGGGGAAAATGGGAGGGATGGGGAAAAGGAAATATTCCATCAACACTCCTGTGCCAACCAGAGTAACTGCTCTGGGAACAGAGCAAGTAACTTCCCTGCTGCAAGAAGGGGAGAAAAGGGAACAATGGAACAACAATCTCTACTGGGTGGAATTTGTATAAATTATTATTTCATAGACTTCTTAAGCATCTCCCATTTTTAACATGTGGGACGATGTGATGGAAAATGTCCAACAAGCCGGCTCGCTTGGAGGCGTGGTTCTGCTGGCACCCTTGCCAATTGGGTGAAACCAAGTGGAATTTCCCTTGGCTGCCACACAGTGTTGTGTTCTTTCTCCCAAACTGGGACCCCATGAGCCAGATGCAGATGGCTGGATCAGGCCACGTTGTTCAGCCAGAGCTAGTAGAAAGAGTTCAGGGTGGGAGAGAGGCCACAGCACTGCAATTGCAAGAGTTATGGTCTTACCTGTAGGGAAGCATGAAATAGGAATTGGTTTGGAGGAATCCCATGGCTGAAGCATGAAACTTGGCTGCCTGATACCAAACAAACAACTCCCACCATGACATGCCTTACAATGGATCTTTAGCTCCACATACAACCCCTGATCTTGGCATCTCTTTTAGCAGAACCAAGAGAGAATGTGCCGTCCCATCCAACCCACCCTGTCCTGTCTAGATCACACAAAGCACATTTTTTGAGCAGCGTTAGGACTTTATTTACTGCAGGCAAGGGCACAGTTCTCTCCAGCCCAAAGAACACCACATCGATGGGAGCTTTGGTGAAGCCTGCAATCGAGGCCTGGGAATTCACATATGAGTTATTAAACAAGCACAATACCAATCTCATATTATGATGATGATAACGTGGTACCTTTTCCTTCCTTCTGACATCTCTTTCTTTGTACAACACATTTTCTGCTCTCGCTTGTAGCTGGGCAAGGATTGCCCCTTGCTGACGGATGCTGTACGATCTCTCTGACCCTTACTTCATTTCCTCTTTTGAAACCACATGTTTTTCCTTTCTTTGTGCAAGGGCTCCACGGACTCCACTCACTAGCTTCACAGTGCACTGCAATAAACATAGGACAAGCTGAGCCTGACCAATACCTTTTTGTATACACAATGCATATGGTACATTAATTTTATTCTGCATCAGCCAAAAGGTGGCAAATTTAATGGAATTAATCAGAATTTTCAGCAGTGAATTGACAGAAATTGAACTGCTGAGGATATACTGCACAAAGTAATGTCAAATAATTATGTCAGTTACTATTTTGTACTCGCTGTTTCATAATTCCATTCCTGAAATGGGGCAACACCACCACGATTGGTCTCAATAAAATCAGTTACTGGGGCCTGTGCTGAGGTTGCTTTGGTTTTGTGGAGGTTTAAACCCTCGTAGCTTCAGCAGAATTAAATTTCGGTCATGCCTGTGTGAGAGTGAAGTCATTGGGTCAAGCTGCTGCAGCTGGTCTGAAAGGTGTTGAATTTGGAAATCAACAGAGGTATAAAGGACCAACTGACACCAGAAGGCTTGATTCATTAAGAATCAAGTATCTTTGGTGATCTGCTGCTTAGTATTCGGCTTAAATAGTGAAAGAGCCATCATCTGTAGCATATACAAGCTGTAAGTAGCCAAAGCAGAGGAGAACTTGGGTTGGGTGGGTGCAAGCTTTTAAAAAAATTGTGGGTTACAGTTTGTGAACCACAGTGATCTGAATGCGCATCTCGTGCTATTGGGAACTCAAAAGGTGTGCAGCTGGACACTTGTCCAAACAGTGTAGACAAAAATGGGAGTAACCTTGGAAGCTTAAGAACGGGCTTTTAATAACTGTCCCTCTTTTGTGCCATCTCCTCCCTATGTATCTCTTGATAAAAGATAGTAAAAATTTATCTTTACATGTTCACATGCATGCTTAAGACTAGAAGGTACCGCTAAAGAAGGAAAGACTTCCAGCCCCTCTATAAGGAGGAATTTGCAAGTCAACATTTTTCCAGCTCCAGAATTCACATCCAAATTTTTCAAAACCTAAAAATATGACTGACCTCAGGCAATCCCTGAACCTTCCTCCAGTGAATTGTCATGTGGGTCATTTTGTTTTTGATATTACACTGGAGCTCTCCTGTTAAAATAATTTGCCTTCACGTGCACAAAAAGGTTCTGTTTTTCCTCCGTAGCTTTAAATGGCTTTTCCTAGTTGAGACTGACTCATTGTTAAAGCAGCTGAGTCTACAGCACTTGGAAACAGCCATCAAGAAACAAAAATGATCCCTTGAATTTCTTTCAAAGATGAAAGTCTTTGCTTGAAAATAAAACCGTAAAAACCATCACTACCACCTGAACTAATATATGTTTGAGAAGCCAAATGCCAAACTACTGCACATTATTTTTATACCTGCATTACTTCCCCTCCAAAACACGCGATGCCAGGAGAGCTGTGTGCATGATACTGTGGGGGAGGAGATTTCCGTCACAGCCAGACTGCGCCTAAGTGCTCCCTGGTTGCTGGTGGCTGAAGAGGTTACCACCGCAGTTCGCAACCCTCAGCCACCGCAATTCACAGCCAGCCTACTCAAATAAGCTGAATCTTGCCACAGCTTCGGCCTGCCCATGGCAGGGGATGCCAACTGCATCAGCCCAGAGGCAAATGAATCGCCCATTCTGCATTCAGCCGGAGGGGTGGCAGAGGGATGGAACAGACGGTTAGGTGTGGTGACCTCCAAAATTGTCCCGGCGTGAAGAATCGGAGCTTGTGAGTCAGAGGCTGGAGAGATACAAAAGCAGGTCTCTTCTCTGCAGCCAGTGTGTCACAGGACCGGTGTCACCAATCTCATTCTTTCAGTGACAGTGCTACACTGGTGTTTTATTTTAATCCTTGGTTTCTGGAGTCAGGTCAGTATGCACATATACTAATTTGGGGTTTGGGGTATTTGGGGGGGGGGGTTTCTTATTGTTTTAATTTTTTGCCTTCACCTTTGTGAAGGTAAGCTTCAAAATGTTGCCGCACGCATGCTTTGAAAGCTCAGGTAGTACAAGGGAGCTAAAGCAAAGCAGTTAGTATTTTAATCTTTCAACTATATGTGGGGTCTGGCTTGAGATCTTTGAACCTTTGATGTTAGTGGTGCTGCATAGCACCATAACAGAGCAACTGAGAGATGGATGTCATTCTACCTCAGGGCAGACCAAAGAGGCCATATTTCCTGAGGCAGAATTGTCCTTAGCATCAAGGCTGTGTTTGTGGGGCACAACCAAGATGTGCCTCTTGTGAAATGGCAGACTTGGGAAGTACCTGGAGTTTGCTGTGCTGGGGGATACATCCTATGATGCAGAATATTTCCATTTTAAGTTACACTTCCCTGGTGGTGTAACTGATCTTGCAACTCATGCCCTCCTGCTGCTACCCACCCCCTGTGAGAAAACCAGGCAGGACACGGGGGGACCGGACTTACCGATGCTAGTGCACTCCATCGTGTGATTGTTGGCTTCCAGCCCATCAGGGCACTTTTCAAGGCACTTTCCACTGTATAAGTAAAACCCACTTTTGCACTTTGTGCAGAAGTTTCTGGTGAAGCAGGTATCACAGTCAGCTTTACATTCTGAAAAGCAAACAGTAAACAACAGTGTTGTTGCTTTTTGCCACAAAACGCCATGGGCTCTCTCACATATACCAGAATCACACAATTCTAGCAATGTTAAACGATCTTCAAGGGAAGCAAATTATATTTAGGTCTTCTCCATGGCCTGTACACACAGTGAGGCCAGCCACGAGTGACCTTGGCGTGAGTGAGGATTTAATAAGGATGGCCTGATGCTGAATGGCCTCACACTGCTTGTCTTCTTGCAGACCTATGCAAATGGAAGACACGGCACAGCACATCAGAATAACAATATACTGCTTCTGCCCTACACTGACCCAGCATAGGTACTAATTAACCCCACAGGGCACAGGTACTGAGACAGTTCCACACTACGTATCTCCATTCAGCCAGATGAAATAAAAATATGCCAGAATTTAGAGTCTGCTTAAGACTGTTCTGCATCAACATCTTTTTCTGTTTTTAAATGACTCCTTGATGTTCAATCAGATGTCGTGTAGTATTTCATGTATTCTCTAGATGACTACACAAATAGGCATTAGTGGTATATTTCCCAGTTCTCAGATATTCTTAAAAGAAAATACATAAAAACTTGTGTATGGCACAGCTCATGTCTGATATGCAAGGCCACACACTGCTAAAAAGTGAGCGTATACATTACAGTGTCAAGTTACTCTGTAAGACTTTACTCTGGGTTCCATTCATTAAATAACTTTTATTACCAGGTAAAAACTGGGAGAGTTGCTTGGCTGTCGCTCTTATGTTTTTATATCACCTGCGGGATTAAAAACAGTGAATTCAACAACGAAAAGAGGAGTGATGAGGACATTGCGATCTTTTCCAGTTCATTTATGGTTCAGAATACCTAGTGGGATCCAAATGTTGCCCAAGTGGTGAAGAACAGAGCTGCGTTCTCTGTCTCCCAGCCCGGAGGCAACACGCCTCGGTAACCTCCCCGAAACCAGGCTGAAGCCTGGCTGGCTGCTGCAGGCGTTGAGAGGGCTGCACCGAGCGTGAGGCAAGCTGCTGCGAGACCGGGGCAAACCGCAGCGCCGAAACCTGCCATCTCCCCTCCTTGCCGCGGAGTCAGCTGGGTAAGGGCAGTGGGCTAAGCAATGGCTCCAGCTACTGCGATTCAGGGTCCCCCGGCTCTTCGGAGCAGCTGCTGCTCCCTCTTGCTGCCAGCCCCTTCTGCGTGGGGGTCTGGAGGAGGAGGAGGAGGAAGCCATCACCTGGGCCCTGGGCAGGTCACTCACGGAGAGCCAGGATCCCTCAGGTTTAGGCTCTTTGGTGATCTTTCACCCTTAATTTCTTGCCTGGGTTAATATTTACTGTGCTACTATGGAAGAACTGAACAAATAAAGACACGGCCTGTCCGTCTGCTTCTCTGTTGACCCAGCTCCTAAGGGGACACAGCATTCGAGAGGGAGCAAACAAAGCCACGCGCTTCCCCTTTCCCCAGCACTTACTTGCGCACTTATTAATGTCCGGATACCGTGTCCCGTAGTATCCGCTTGGACACGAGGAAAGACACACTCCGATCTGTTTCATGCCAATCCTCTCCAGAACGAAAAAGAGCCTGGGCTTACATGACAGGCATCCGTTGTAGTCAGAACACGTAGCACACCCTCCTTGGCAACCCTGGCTCACGTTAGGATGCACTGAGAAGACAAGCATTCAAAAAAAAAAAAACAAAACAAACAACAAATGGTGAGAGAACAAGATATTAGAAAAGAACATGAAATAATGGTTCCTCTGTGATTGGAAGGGTGGATCATCCACCTCTCCGGCAGCTCTTAAAGATTGCTTCGTTTTTTCTTGTGTCTCTTATGACCTGACACATCATTTCAGCAATTATTTCATCTGCGTAAAAAGGAGAAGCTCAGCTGATGTGCTCACATCTTGCAGAAATAGCTAACAGAAAATTATATTTGAAATAGGTTTTATGGAGCAGCAGAATCCTAGAGAACATTTATTTGTCTTTTAGCTATTTTCAGTGCCTTTTCTGCCTTGTATGCACTTGGCTCAGCAGATAAATACATGTTCATTTATCTTTGCTTTTCCTAACTGGATGATTAAAAATCAGCCTAGTGTATAATTTCCTTCATTGACTAAATGCCATTTGATTGAGTTCTGCTGTGCAGGAATATGGCCTTGTAAGATCTGATGCTAATTTGCCTTAATAAAAAGACAGAGGAGAGCCATCCTTCTCACCCTTCTTCTTTCCCTGGAATGTTCTCTCTGGCATGTTTTTAATCTCTAACAATTACAACCTGATGTTCTGGCTTAACTGTGGCATTTACCCTGCTCCAGTCCCAGCATGGAGCATAGGTAGGATTATATTTACCTTTCAATTGAATTGTTCTAATTCTTCAGACAAGGAATGGAAAACTTAATACACTCACTGCTTAAGACTATTCAGTTCTTCCTTAGAGGCTTAGGGGTAGCAGAAAAGAGGATGCTATTGCAGACTATCTTTTCAGTAGCAGGCATTAATCAGCGTATTACTTCTCAGTGGCAGAGAATAAGGTTTTGCATCTTCTGGTACTTTAGAAGTTGTTACTTAGTTTTAATTGCTTCTTGGTTGCATTCTGAAATAGGAGTTGGATTGAAAAATAATTAAGCACAAAATAGCTCCAGACCCTCTTTTTTGGCTTCGTCTTTTGTGAAAAACCCAGGCATTTTTCTAAGTGTCAGCTGTCATCTCTTCACCTGAGACACCTGGTAATATTTCATGTGTAAGAGAAATCCAGTTGTCATTTATGTTTGTAAGTCCTATTTGTAAATACTATTGGCTTCTTGTTCTGCCTTCTTCACAGGCCAGTGGTAATTTTATGAGTATGCACATAACATACTTTGATTGCCTATTTTAGTGTTTTGATTTTATTTTTACCTGCAGACACTGCTAAATAGCTTGCATATACAATGAACTCACTTTCATGAGCTCCCTTCTGTGGATCTCTTGGAGGCAGACCAGAAGCCCATATGAATCCATGGCTTAGAGGTTGAAAGCCACCACTCCCTGCTAGGAATGCCTCTGTACTTTGTTCACATACATTTTTGGCAGGAAAGACATGGCTCATGAATGGGAAAAGCACTCCTCTATGCTCTGAGGTTTTGATGACCAGTCCCGCAATCTGAGAAACCTCAAAGGGAGTTCAAGTTCACTTTTCCTCTTTCGTTATTAGAATGAGGAATGAGGGTTATTTCTCTCAGTAGGCCTGAACACATAGAAGAAGAGCAAACTTTGGCTCTGCTGCGGACAAACAATTTCAATGAGAATATAAGAACCCAATTCTCTGTGCCCCCCAAGGCACTCACTTTGTAGAACAACCTGGAGAAAAGTGCTTGTACGACCAGGACGCACCACTACGATGCAAAGAAATGACATTCTGCGTGGTGAGAAGCTGCAACCCCAATTTAGTTATCAGACTTGGTTTCACTAGACTCTCAAAATACGGAGGACTCAATAAGTATAGCACAGTTTTTTCTAAGAAGATTCCAAAGACACAGAGTATATTGATTTTGAAATTAAGAGCCTGAAAAATTTGGTTTCTTTTTAAAGTTAAGTAAATTACAATGTCCTTGTCTCTCTCGCCCGTGTCTTGTGGCTCTTGTATGAAGCTATTTTCAAAAGCAGACACAGTAACGTGATCTAAGAAGCTGACATTATTTAAGAACTATGCATGATTTTCCTTCATTAAGTTTGACAGAGGGAAAAAAAAGCAGGTGAAGTACAAAATATTTGTCATCAAAGTTGCTATATAAAATATGGATGATCACTTTTGACGTGAAACATATGATGTGTGAGCACCTGTGACACATCATTATGAAAAGATTCTCTTGACAGAGAAAACTTATGTGCAACTGCTCTGAGGTCAAGCTGCATGTGTGAGACCATGAGACAGGCAATACTTTATTATCGAAACATAATTCTCAATAGCTAAGATCCATTACATGGTCAATTTCCGCCTCCCCTTTAACTCCAGAAGTATTAAGTATAAAATAAAATGTACTTCTAGCCAGTTTTGCAATTTCTGCTTCCTTTCATGCAGATACATCTCATACAAATAACACGGCAAAAAAAGAAAGCCTGTAGTTCCAAATGGAGAATCATATTGATAGTATTATGGAGCAAGGAATAAGTTAAAATATGTAAGTCAAGCTCCATTTAAAGGTTGATGTCATGCCATGTTCTAACTCAACGTGTGAAGCAAAACAAGATCCTGTTCTTGGAAATGCATGGAGCAAAAGTCTTGTTGAAAAGTCAGAATTGACATTTTAAATGAAGCAGATGTTTTTTCCTTAAAAGCTATTAAAGGGATCCTTTTTTGATTGTTTCCTATTATGCCTGGCATTTCTTTGAGCCCTGTATCTGTGTAATGAAACTGCCTCTCATTGCAGCTGCTCCGAATGCTCCATAGACCCTTATCCTGGCTCATGCAAGAAGCGAAGCACGGACAGCCGAGTGCTCCAGAAATTGGTACTGTTTGAAAGCACAGCACTAGGTTTTGTCATTGAACCTGGGAGAAAATAAATGGTGCAGGAAAAATATTTGTGTCTACAAAATGAGATAGCATGTTTGAAATGAGGCATCTCCAAGCTCCAGCTGCAGTCATTCTTGTTACCTCTCAGATCAGCTACCCTCCTGATCCCTGCAATGCAGCGACTGGTCCTTCCCCTCCTGAGAAGGCCAGGTGGGGTCGAAAGGATTCCAGACGGAAACAGGGAAACCTCGGGCTCTGAAACATCTTTCTGCCACAGGGAGCGAACTTATTGCTGCTGGGCACAGAACTGGCCCTTACTGTTCCTCTCTCATTGCAGCAAGGTGTTAGCATCTGCAGATCTCAAGCACTTCAGCAACAGCACACTATAACCATGAGGAAGCAGCCAGAAGTTTTGCCCTTTTTTTCCCCATATCAGGACTGTGAGCTCAGAGTTTAGGTGGTGTGCTGCAACAAGCTGGGAACATAAACCCCATCTGGTGAAATCCAGCCATGGTACACCTGGCGTAAGCATGGCTCCAAATTCCTATACTTAGGTCAACAGTAGAAATGGGTAAGTAATGTCTTTCCACTTTAAGAAACGCTTTGAAGTCTACAGGTGAAAAAGCACTAGGAGAGCATAGACCACTCCTGTTAGCCACAAGTTTTAGCTATGGTAAGCGGGACAGAGACAGGTCCAGTCTCTCGGTAGAGGGGCAGGTGATGTGGCCTTGTGGCTTATGCACTGGCTGCAGAACCAGAAGGTCTGGTCTTTAGCATTGCAAATAGGTCCAAGAAATGCTCTTGCTTGTAACCACTTGGTCTTTGGTGCAACCTGCTCCATTATGAAGACAAATAAAATGAAATCTAAAGAATTCTCCACTACCCTCAGAACTAACTTCGATGAGGATGAAGTCCTCTATGTGTGGGCTGTTAGGAGCAATGTCTGCCATTAGCGATGACCCTACCAGCCCTCAAGCAGTCTGCCCTCTTGTATTCAAACACTTTTTGAGCACAGTGAAGTTCCAGACTCTCAAGGATGGAAAATACAGCATACCAATGGGCAAAGCAAGCGGTGGGAGCACAGAGACCCACAGACAAGTTCTTCCCCATCTCTTACACAAGCGTTAGCCAGGCCTGCTGACTCATCAGGTACAAAGTATGTATGTGCAGGCCTGTGACTGGCTTTAGGTCCAGAATCCATACCTCCATTCTTCTTTTTATAAAACCTAAATACTGGAGATCAGAGAAGACACTAAGTTAATCTTGAACTATTCTCTTCCCCTGCCTGGCTTAAAGCCCTTTTTGGCTTAGGAGGCCTTTTTTTGTGCAAGCTGTTTGTCCAGATATTAGTTTTAAGCCTCATTAGCAAATGAAATCTCTGGGGATTTTCCTTTCTCAGAATATTTTCCAAAGCCCTGCTCTGGAAACAATGAGTTGTGGTCGCTCTGTTAAAAATAGAAAGTTAGTGACAAGGAGCAGAATTTGAATCTGAACTTTCAGTAATGAGACAATGGGAGTTTTTGATTGCATGCAGCAAATTCTAAAACTTTTACAATGAATTTTTTCTAACAGTTTTACTTTATATATAGGTTAAAATTTATGGGATCAGAAACAGAAAACAAAATGTGAGAGGCATCCAGGTCAGCATATGTTCTCACAACTAGAGGAAAAGCTCGGGGTAGAAGAATATTCTTCGTTGTTTTGCTGCAGCTGAGGTGCACTGCCTCATCATCAGTCTTCAACGACAAGATGCCCAGTTAGAGGCTTGCTCTTGAAATGGATGTGCTAGACAAATTAAATACATCCCTGCTAAAGAGCTGCTGCTACTCCTGGTTTCTCGGGCTTGTGCGTTCTCACAGGAAATATTTTCACAGCAGAGCTGCTCTGGAGTTCAGCCTCCCCAGTGGATGCCCCTTGCTGCGAGACCCAAGCCCTGCCTCGGCTTTACCCACCCTGTGGCACCCGTGTGGGCACGAGCCCTTGTGGTGGGGGGGATTTGGGACAGGATATCCCATGGGTTCTCGTGTTGCCTGGTCGCTCTGTGCATTCATTGCCGTTCGTTTCTCTCTCTCGCCTAGTGAGAAGCAGCTGCCTGTGGCAGCGGCCTGAAAACAATACTTCATGTAAAGCAGAGTTACTCTTAATCATGTGGACTGTCCTTTAGGCAAACGCAA